GTATAAAAGGAAAACAGGTCTTTAAATCTCCAAACCTCTATGGTCAGTAAACTCAAATGCGAACATGAACTTAAAAAAAGAAAAAGCACATCTCAGATGGTAGTGTGGAGTCAGGTGTTGCAGAGAATCATCTTTCAGGGAGCAGGACTGGCTCCTAATCATGGAATTGGCATTGTGGGCCTGGCTGGTTTACAGAATTTCTATGGACTAATAACAGCTAAGTACCTTCTGTTTTTTTCCTTTTTTGAGCAGAAGTGTCTGTTGAGGTAATCCTATGCTCGTTCCACCATTGACTGTTTGATGTTGTGGTGGTGGCAGGAGGCAGGGGCAGATGAAGAGGAACTATAACCACAAAACTACAGGATGCTCATTTGTATGTGGACCTGATTCAGATGATAAGATCATTGACCGTGAGTTTGATCCTACATTGTATTTGGTTAAGGCTGGTGCAGGGTCTTGAGGAAGGTTTTTTTGTTTGTTTTTGCTTTTACTTGATGAAGGTATATCAATAATTTGTGGTCAAAGGGCATACTGGTGCAGTTTTAAAAGATAATGGCAAATTCTTTGACACCTCTCCCATCAAGAAGAGTGGGTCTATGTCCTCTGTCCTTGAATCTGAGTGGGCTGTGACAACCCTGATACTACCATGTCTGAGGAAGCCCAAGCTACATTGAGAGGTCACATGTATGCAGTTTGGTTTATATTCCCAACTGAGCCATTCTTAGACTAATATCAGCCCAGGAACTAGACATGTGAGTAAAGAAGTTTCCAGATGATTCTAGCCATGAACCAATTAGAGTCATCTCCAGCCATTTGAGTCCTCTCAGCTGAGGCTTCAGGAATTGTGGAACCTAGCCATCTCCATTGTGGCCTGTTTGAATTCCTGAACTGCAGGCTCCATGAGCAAAATGAGTTGATAGTCCTTTTTTTTAAATTAAATTTTTTTATATTGTACTTTAGATGAAGGTTTACAGAACAAATAGTTTCTTGTTAAACAGTCAGTACACATATTGTTTTATGACATTGGTTAACAACCTCATGACACGTCAACACTCTCCCTTCTTGACCTTGGAGGACCTTTTTTTGGTGAAAATATACATAGCCAAAGTTACACCATTTCAAAAGTTTCTACATGTACAATTCAGTGACATCGATTACATTCTTCCAGTTGTGCTGCTATTCTCACTATCCTTTTCCAAATTATTCCATCACCATTATCTTCAACTCACTGCCCCCTAGGCTTCCCATCAAACCTTTTGAGTTGCTGTTGTCAGTTTGATCTCACGTAGATAATTCTTCTTATTTTTGTACCTTAGATAAAGGTTTGCAGAACAAATAGTTTCTCATTAAATAGTTAGTACATATATTGCCCTATGACAATGGTTAACAACCCCACGACATGTCAACACTGTCTCCTCTCAACCTTGGGTTCCCTGTCACCAGCTTTCCCCTCCTGCCTTCTAGTCTTTGTCCCTAGACTGCTGTGCCTAATTAGTCCCATTTTGTTTTATGAGGCTGTCCAATCCCCGGCTGAATGGTGAACTTTGGGAGTGACTTCACCACTGAGCTAAAAGGGTGTCCAGGGGCCATACTCTCAGGGTTTCTGCAGTCTCTCAGGCCAGTAAATCTGGTCTTTTTTTGTGAGTTCTAATTTTGTTTTACATCCTTTACCAGCTCTGTCCAGGACCCTTTATTGTGATCTGGGTCAGAGCAGTTAGTGGTGGTAGCCAGGCATCATGCAGCTGTACTGGACTCAGTCTGGTGGAGGCTGTGGTAGCTGTGGTCCATTAGTCCTTTGGACTAATCTTTCCCTGGTGTCTTTGGTTTTCCTCATTCTCCCTTGCTCCAGATGTGGTGGGACCAGTGGAGTATCTTAAATGGCTGCTCACAAGCTTTTAAGACCCTGGACACTACTCATTACAGTAGGATGTAGAACATTTTCTTTATAAACTATGTAATGCCAGTTGAACTAGATGTCTCTTGGGACCATGGTCCCTAGCTCTCAGCCCAGTAATTCAGTCCCTCAGGGAATCTGGATGTGTCTATGAAGCTTCCATGACCTTGCCTTGGTCAAGTTGTGCTGGCTTTCCCAGTATTGTCTACTGTCTTACCCTTCATCAAAGTTACCATTTATCTATTGTCTATTTAGTGTTTTTTCCTCAAAAATATAGAATACATGCCCTTTATCATCCCTCTTATTCAACATTGTGCTGGAGGTCCTAGCCAGAGCAATTAGGCTAGAAAAAGATATAAAGGGCATTCATATTGGTAGGGAAGAAGTAAAAGTATCTCTGTTCGCAGATGATATGATCTTATACACAAAAAATCCACAAGAAAACTACTGGAACTAATAGAAGATTTCACCAAACTATCAGGATACAAGATAAACATACAAAAATCAGTTGGATTCCTCTACACCAACAAAGAGAACTTCGAAGAAGAAATCACCAAATCAATACCATTTACAATAGCCCCCAAGAAAATAAAATACTTAGGAATAAATATAACCAGAGACGTTAAAGACCTATACAATGAAAACTACAAGACACTACTGCAAGAAACCAAAAGAAAGCCCTACATAAGCAGAAAAACACACCTTGCTCATGGATAGGAAGACTCAACATTGTGAAAATGTCAATTCTACCCAAAGTGATCTACAAATACAATGCAATCCTGATCCAAATTCCAGTGGCATTTTTTAATGAGATGGAGAAACAAATCACTAACTTCATATGGAAACGGAAGAGGCCCCGGATAAGTAAGCATTACTCAAGAATAAGAACAATGTGGGAGGCCTCATACTACCTGATGTTAGACACCTATTACACTGCCACGGTAGTCAAAACAGCCTGGTACTGGTACAACAACAGATACATAGACCAATAGAACAGAATTGAGAATCCAGACGTACATTCATTCACATATGAGCAGCTGATATTTGACAAAGGCCCAAAGTCTGTTAATAGGGGAAAAGGCAGCCTTTTTAACAAATGGTGCTGGCATAACTGGATATCCATATGCAAAAAACTGAAACAAGACCCATACCTCACACCATGGACAAAACTAACTCAAAATGGATCAAAGACCTAAATACAAAATCTAAAACGATAAAGGTCATGGAAGAAAAAATATGGACAACGCTAGGAGCACTAATACATGGCATAAACACAGTACAAACCATAAGTAACAATGCACAAGCACCAAAAGAGAGACTAGATAACTGGGAGCTCCTAAAAATCAAACACTTATGTTCATCAAAAGACTTCATCAAAAGAGTCAAAAGACAACCTACAGACTGGGAAAAAAATTTTGGCTATGACAAATCCGATCAGTGTCTAATCTCTAAAATCTACAAGATAATGGCAAAACCTCAACAACATAAAGACAAATAACCCAGTTAAAAAATGGGCAAAGGGTATGAACAGGCACTTTACCAAAGAAGACATTCAGGTGGCTAACAGACACATGAGGAAATGCTCATAATCATTAGCCATTAGAGAAATGAAAATCAAAACTACAATGAAATACCATCTCACCCCAACGAAAAACACAATATAATAAATGTTGGAGAGGTTATGGAGAGACTGGAACACTTAACAGTGTTGGTAAGAATGTAAAATGGTACAACCACTTTGGAAATCTATTTGGCGCTTCCTTAAAAAAGCTAGAAATAGAAGTACCATATGATCCAGCAATCCCGCTCCTTGGAATATATCCTAGAGAAATAAGAGCCGTCACACAAATAGATACAGGCACACCCATGTTCATTGCAGCACTGTACACGATAGCAAAAAGATGGAAACAATCTAGGTGCCCATCAACGGATGAATGAATAAACAAATAATGGTATATTCATACAATGGAATACTATGCAATGATAAAGAACAACTATGAATCCGTGAAACATCTTATAACATGAAGGAATCTGGAAGGTATTATGCTGAGTGAATTTAGTCAGTTACAAAAGGACAAATATTGTATAAGACCACTATCATAAGAACTCAAGAAAAGGTTTAAACAGAGGAGAAAACATTCTTTGATGGCTACGAGGGTGGGCAGGGAGGGAGAGGTTATTCACTAACTATATAGTAGACAAGAATTATCTTAGGTGAAGGAAAGAACAGCACACACTACAGGAGAAGTCAGCACAACTGGACTGAACCACAGCCAAGAAGTTTCCTGAATACAACCAAACACTTCAAGGGACAAAGTAGCAGGGGTGGGGGTTTGGGGACCATGCTTTCAGGGAACATCTAGGTCAGTTGGCATAACAAAGTTTATTAAGAAAATCTTCTGCATCCTACTTTGGTGAGTGGCGTCTGGGGTCCTTAAAAGCTAGTGAGCGGCCATCTAAGATGCATCCATTGGTCCCAACCCACCTGGAATAAAGGAGAATGAAGAACACCAAAGACACAAGGAATGTATTAGCCCAAGAGACAGAAAGGGCCACATAAACCAGAGACTGCATCAGCGTGAGACCAGAAGAACTGGATGGTGCCCTGATACCACCAGTGACCACCCCGACAGGGAACAGAACAGAAAGTCCTTGATGGAGCAGGAGAGGAGTGGGGTGCAGAACTCAAATAATAGTAAAAAGACCAGACTTAATGATCTGAATGGGACTGGAGGTACCCCAGAAAGCATGGCCTCCGGACTCTCTGTCAACCCAGAACTAAAACCATTCCCAAGGCCAACTCTTCAAAGATTAGACTGGACTATGGGACATAAAATGATACTCGTGAAGAGTGTGCTTCTTAGCTCAAGTAGATACAGGAGAATAAATGGGCAGCTCCTGTCTGGAGGTGAGATGAGAAAGCAGAGAGGGTCAAGAGCTGGTTGAATGGACACCGGAATTCAGGGGTGGAAAGGAGGAGTGTGCTGTCACAGTATAGGGAGAGCAATTAGGGTCACATAACAATGTGTCTATAAATTTTTGTATGAGAGACTAACTTGAGTTGTAAACTTTAACTTAAAGTACAACAATAAAATAAAAAATTTAAATAAATATGGAACATGAATTTGCGAGTCATTGCCGTGTAGGGGCCATGTTAACCTTCTCTGTATCATTCCAACTTTAGTATATGTGCTGCCAAAGTGAGCACTTTCTATTCTTATATTTATTATATTCTGTATGTTTTTATGTATGTGTACTCAGTACAAAAATATGTATGTTGTTTAAAGATGATTATTGTTATAAAGATAAAAACAGTATTATTTGCCTTTACTCAATATTTACTATGTTCTTAGTTCCGTAGTAAGAGTTTTACATGAATTGATTTAATTAACTTTTTATCATTCATATTATCCCTGTTTTATAAAAGAAGAAGTTAAGGCTTAGAAAAATTAAGTAACTTGCCAAAAATGCATAATTGGGATGTAAATATTAGAGCGGTATTGGGATCCAGGTTGTTAGAATCTGAAGCCAGATATCAGAAATTTTCAGATTAAATTTTCATTTCTAACTATCTGATGTTCATTAGAAAATATTTGCATATAGGAAGAAGAGAGTGAGCTTTAGAGGTAGAGCACACAAAAGAACATAATTATGGTCATTACCCTAAGACTGGAGTCTGTGGGTGGCCCATGGTTAAGTGCTTAACTACTAACCAAAAGTTTGACAGTTTGAACCCACTCAGAAGAAAGGCCTGGAGATCTGCTTCCAAAAGGTCATAGCCTTGAAAACCCTATGAAGTGCAGTTCTGCTCTGCACGCAAGGGGTCACCATGAGTCAGAATCGACTCTAGGGCAACTGGTTTGGCTTGTTTTTTTGGTTACCCCAAAGTTACTACTTGATGGCTGTCACACTAATTTATCCTTATTTTCTCCGAAGTTTAAGATGCACAAATATGCATATAAATCAGTAACTAAGGAGGTCATAAAGCAAGAGTTTAAACCTTTTTTGAGGTTTCTTCTCTTCAATTATTCTTTTGACTTTTTGTTCTGACATTTATTTTATGGGCTAAAATAAATAAGGACTTACCAAAAATTTTTGGTTCATATATCCTGATATATTGAATTTTAAGTACTTCTTTAAGGTGACAGTGAAAGAACCTTAAATTTCACAGATTACATGAATCGTGTTAAAGAGTTCTTAAATGATTTTCGAAGTCAAATGTTCCAATTTTATAGGCCCATACTTTTTGTGTACTAATATTGAGTTGTTATAGGAAGGTTTAACTTCATTATAGTTACTCAGTTTTGCTGAATCAAAGTCTTCTAATTTGATTGCTCAGTATTAGTCACCATATAACAGATGTAGAGGCTAGTAATTCTCCATAGGTCCATGAGGTCACTTATGAAAGGAAACTATTGTTTACTACATTCATCATCTTAGTCTTTATTGCACCATATATTTCAACAACAACTTTCTAAATTTAGTAAAAAGGAAAATGATGTCACAGTATTAGTCTTATTTGAAATTTCTAAAATTAAGTTATTTTCATTTTCACGGAGCATGAAACACTGATTTTCAACATCTGTGTTCTTTGGAGATTGTTGAACTGAAATAATCATTAAAGTATCATTTACCTACACTCTGCCTACATTTGCAATTAAAAGGTATCAGTTCGATTTCCTTGAATTTCTGATAAAAAGGAGCACAAAAGCATTTATAAGTAAAAACTACATAAATAGGTTCAGAAAATTTAAATCCCATCCAAATCTATTTTTAAATGTGTGTGAAATTAGGGAAAGTAAACATTCTAAGAAAAATTTAATTCACTGGACAGTAAGTTTATATTCTTGAGTCTCATTGACCTGGCAATTTTTAAAGACTTTCATATAAATCAGCTAATTCTGAAGATCTTAAGTTTTTAGATGCAAAATACATTTTCAGACTAAGACTTAAAAGTGACAATAGAACAGTGGGTATTTGAGCAAAGTCATGTTATTTGTCTTCTGGAAACAGATTTTAAAATCGTAAAAGATAACAAGAAAATTCTATGAACTAATTTCTTATATGAATTCTTATGACACTTGGAAAATAATTTGTAATCATGGTGCATTTAATTTTTTTCTATAGTCTTTTTAATTTGATTTTATTTTCCAAAACTTGTTACAAAATAGGATTTTTATGTTGATTATTTTGGTGTCTTGTTTACATTCTCATATAAGTTTAAAAAGTAAGTATCGAGCTGATTATGATTAGGAAAATTTTCTTTCTTGTACTAGAAAACATGTTAAATGTTACTTAAAAATAGATAAAGTAAATAATTTTACTACGTGTTCACACACACACACACACACACACACAAATTACTGAATCTAAGATAGATATTCCAACAGTTATCAACAGATTCTGAAAGGAAGAATAATATTTTATGATAATATAAATTGTTGCCACTAACAATGCTTTATAATACTATTAAGATAGTAAATTTTCTAGAAAAAAATTTAGAGCTTTAGGATTTCTTAATTAAATATAGCATATAGAATCATATATTTACTCAGGGTGAAAGAAAGGGATATTCTTTTATTCTACATTAGTAATTTCCATCTTATATACCAGGTTGAGGTAATAGTAAAGTGAAAATATTTGCTATTATTATTATTTGCAAATAAAACAGAATTTTGCTATTAAGAAACAAAATATAAAGGAAAAAGTATAGCTTTTTACTTTCCCCTATGACACCAGATAATTTCTTCAATATCCATTTCATTCTGTTGCTAAAAAGTGCCTTTTAATTTATATTTCTCCAACAAGCCAACCACCAATTCCAATGTATCATTTAGACAATCTATGACTGCTTCAAATTCTCAAGGCCTCATTCAGCTCTGTGGTCTGGCAAAATAAGTTTTTCCCCAGGGATATCAAACCGGGAGAGCCACTGGAGAGATTTTGAAATAGGGTCAAGATCTCAAATGGGATACCAGCTGGAATCTAGGGGGAATCCCAGATTTCTCCCAACAGATAGCCATTCATGAGACCAACGTCCTGGAAATGAGGCCAAAGTGACCATATACTGGGTGGCAAAAACTTAAGTCATAAACATAGGGTGAATTGTGGGTGAAGTAGTTTTTAGGAACATGAACTTTGTTTGCTGAAACTTCCTTGGAAAATCTATGCCAGAAGAGAGTACTCAAAAGGTATCTAAGATTAATGCTACCTGGAAGGAAAAACTGAATAACACAGGTATTAATACTTTGCACAAAGAAGGGCACCTTAAATGAAAATGCTTGAAATTGGGAAGACATGGGGGTGGGGGGAGACAAGTCATGCTTCTTCCATCAATCTAATGACTAAAAAAAAATTAATATTCATTTTAGTATTTTAACATCTTTTTAAATGCTGTATATTTTTAAAATAACATTTATATACCGCAGTTTTCAGTCTATGGAAGTATTATATTCTGGCTAACAGAGATTGTTCTCTTTGAGGGAAAAAATAAAAATTATGATTTTTACTCCTGAAAGTAGTATTTGTATTTTTTTTTAATATATCTAAAACAGATAACTGGTTTTTTTTTTTTTTTTTACATCTTTTTGTCTTTCAAGAACCACCTTACAAACCATAAAGTTAAACTAAAACAACAAATGTTAAGGATAATCTGGTTAAAGAAAACATTATATTTTATGAGTTAAAATATAACTCCCAGGTTCTTAAAACAGAAATCAATAAACTTGCCAAGATCATTTTTATACTCTGTCACGTGCACATTAGTTTGCTCTTGAAAAAAATCAGAAAACTTTTTCTGTTTTCTATAATGACATTTAAAATTCCTGTTATCTTTCAGTCTGCTAGCTATAAGTGAACTTGGTAAAGAACTTCTACATAATTCACATTTTGATAAGAAAATCTTAAATGTCTCCCTGCAGTAGCTATTGATGGCACACCCAGAAGCCATGCTGTCATTCTGAATAGATCCGACTTATCGCTTAAAAGTAAGGTAGTTCCCTGGGATCAAACATATACAGATGTTTAAGACTTATGGTACAAATTAGAGTAAAAAAGTAGTCTTAAAAGAGCCAACCTGTTTAAAATGCAAAATTGTCTTTTAAAAATTCTCTTTATGGAAACACAGCTCTCAGTGAAGTTTTGTCTACACTGGTAATCATTCTCTATGAGATTTGCCAATGTTTACTGTCTATCCCCACTGGAAAGAAAGAAAATGGATGTTTTCCATCTGCAGCAAAATTGAATCAAAACAAATGTATTTAAATTGGAAACATTTGTGGCTAAAAGAGCTGTTCTCCATGAAAACATCTGGTTGCACTTTTAAGTCATTGCCAAATAAACGCATGCTGGAAAATCTATTTTATGCCACACATGGTCACCCATGTAGATGTAGCCTAAACCCGTTTTTGTTTGAGGTCAACACCCTATTTTAGGAAGAAAAGTACAGATTTGTGAGTGTGCAGTGATTTTTTTTTTTTTTTTTTAACAGTACTGCTGGAATGGCCCTGGAAGTTTGAACATTCTACTTTCTTTCAGATAGGGAGTGGAATATGACCCAGTCCTTTTGATATTTCTCAGGTAGATAATGCAAAGATTGAAATAAGGATGGTTGTGGGACAGATCAAATAGCTACTTACTTGTGAACAAAGACTGCTTGTGGTTTCTTGTTTCAGCCAACTCTGGTTGTTATTTTTTCTTATTTACATAATCAACTGAAAAGAGGTGAAGAGATGGAATTTCAGATTATTTAGTTGACTGTTGTTGTTAAGTTGCCATCGAGTTGACTCTGACTCATGGTGACCTTATGTATAACAGAATGAAGAGGTTGCAGGGTCCTGAGCCATCTTTATGATTGTTGGTGTGTTTGAGTCCATTGCTGTGGCTGTTGTTTTAATTTGCCTCACTGAGGGTTTCCCTTGTTTTCACTGACCTTTTACCAAACACAATGTCCTTTTCTAGTGATTCATCTTTCCTGATGATTTTCCAATGTAATTGAACCAAAGTCTAATTTACTTGTTAGGGTAAGCCCAGTGGCTTAATGCAATAGAAGTTTCTTTTTTACTCAAGCCTAATGCACATGTTCCTGGTTGATAGGCAGCTTTTTACACTGACATTCAGGGACCCAGGTTCTTTCAGCTGTGTGTCTCTCACAATCATAGGACTCAGAGACCCGTGAAGGTTGTTCTGTATCTAGTTATCAGACAGTTT